GCCCCCTGTGGGCCTCACCTCCTCACAGGGAGGAATTGTTCCCCAAAACGCCATCTCCCCCTGCCCTCTGCCAGAGTGGAGCCATTCCCCGTGTCCTGTCACTCCAGCCCTAGGAAACTGTCTCTCTCTCTCCGTTTTTTGCCGCCCCTTGTCGGCAGTGCCACACGCCGGGGCCGCTCCCCGAGGGAGTTTGGGACTTGCCGGGGTCCCTCCGCTCCTCCCGATCCTGCCCGGTGCCGGGCGGAGCGCCGAGGGAAGAATTCCCCTCGGGCGCCCATCAGCGAGGAGTTTATTCAGCCAACACCCCGCAATTAAACCCTGTCAGTCACCGCATCCCAGCCGCTCCCCTCCGCCGGCCGCCAGCGCCCTGCTGTGTCTTCCCTCGTCCCTTCTTGTGCCGGTCATTTTTAAAGGCAGCCCCGAGATGGGATCCTGCAGAAATTCACCCTTTGTCACGGAATCTCTGCTTCTTCCCAGGCCAGGCACAGGGATCAGTCACTCACCGGCTCCAGTGCCACCTGACACTAAGGGGACAGACAGGTTCTTTTAGGAATTCTTGGCAGAGTGATGGTGGCTGTAAATCGTACTGTAATTAAAGCTTTATTAACTGGATATTATGATTCATACAGCAGGGAATTTATGAGTAGAACAGTACAGGATTTCCCCAGGCAGAATCAATGGAGCACAAGGAGCAATGTAATATAGAATTTAAAAAACAAGATCCCAACTTTGGCTGTAATTTATGATCACCCTGGTCCTAAGCACTGCTTAATCACCTGGGCTCTCTGCAGATCTGCTCAGATCTGCATACAGGGTTTGCTGTATCAATATAAACATCATAAAGGAGACTTAAAAATTACACAAACAAACAAGAGTCACTCAGTGCTGGCAGGAAGCAGATGACAGTGGCTGTCCCTGGCTGGGGAGGGCACAGCTCTCCCTGTCCAGCAGCAATTCCAGTCCAAATTTCCCACTTGATACTGATTTTTTAGGCAGTGCTGGGTTACAGATCCCTGCCCTGTGAGCTGGTGCCCAGGGACCTTGGGGCTGGCAGGGAGGGGAAGGAAGCTGAGAAATCTGTTGGATTTGTCTGCTTGGTTCCCAGGGGAATGAACACAGGAGCTGCCTGGTCCCAGGGAATGGCTGCCTGGTCCCAGGGAATGGCTGCTCACTCTCTCCTCAGTGAGGATTGTTACAAATGAATCTCGTGAGGGGGAAACAAACGGGAGGAGCTGCTGGGATCAGCTGTTGGCTCTGACAGGGCAGCTTAGCCGGTCTCCACCACACTTAGCACTAATCCCTTCATGACAGGCATTGTCTCACTCCCAGCAAATGTCTCTGTTTTGGACAATGCCTCTATTGTCGGGACAAAAGCCAGATCCTGGAAGTGTCAGAATGCCTGAAAGGGCTGAGACCTCACAGCTGCACTTGACACTTCCACAGAAAACTCCTCAGTCACTTTTGTGTAAAGGGAACATCAGCTCCTCCCAGGCATTTGGTTCCAGATATTTACTGGACTCGACCTGACAACAGAGAACCAAAGCAAACACTCTGTCTCCCAGAGGTGCCCCCAAACAAAAATAACTGGTTTAAAACAGTGAGCAGATTCCTGGAGCTGTTTCACTCAGCCCTGCTGCTTTCTGACAGTGTGCTCTGTTGTTCACTTGCAGATTGAGGCAGAAGTGAAGAGGAGAAAAGAGTTAATCCATCAGTCAGTGGAACGCAGAGCCATCATCTCCAAGTGCTACAAACCAAAACGCCCAGAGGTGTACACTCTGCAGGTACACAGGAGGTTTGGAATCCCTTCTGCACCCAGAAAAAAATCACCTGAGAGTTTTATTTTTGCAGTTTGTTTCCCCCTCTCCTCGGGACTGCACGGTGCTAAAGCTGCACTGAATTAAAACACAGGTGTAGCACATGAAAACTGGATTTAAAACTTTAAAAACACGACAGCACATTGTGCTCTCCAGGCAAGATTCCTGGTGTTCCAGCCAGGAAAGGCTCTTTCTTATCATGTCTGTGATAAATTTGGCCAGTTACTCCTAAAAAAACCATGAACCAAAGCAAGCAGCAAGTTCCCTGCCCCACCTGGTAAAGCACCAGTGCCTTTCTGCATTCCTGCTGTGGAATTACTGAGTGTGACTCAGCCTTGCTCCCCAGGCTCTGGGTATTTCCCTGGGAGTCCATTTCCCTCTGGGCTCTGCAGGCTGATTGTGTTTCTGTGTGTTTCTCCCATCCTTCCCTTGACACCAGGATTCCTTCCTGGCCCCAGAGTTTCTGGAAATCGAGAGGTTCTGCACATCTCCAGGTGCTGATCTCCAGGGCCTCCTGAGCTACCTCGAGTCCTTCTCAGGTAAAGAAACACCTCAGTCACACACAAGTCCCTGGTGCCCTGTGTGGAACAGCTCTGCTGTGGCACAGGCTGAGGCACATGGGATGTTTCTCCTGCCTGAGGAGGGTCTCTGGAGAGGCAGCAGCTCTGCTCTGGATCAGAGGCTGTTTTCTGCTTTCCCATCCCAGCCTGCTGATGTCTCACCAGCAGCTCCAGCTGCAGCAGGGCTGGGTTTTGGTTGTTCCACACCTCACCAGGGAGCCTGCTGAGGGAGCACTGGGAGCTTGGCTTTCCTCCCTGAGTGCTTTCCCATTGCAGACAGTTCCTGTGGGTTAGTCTGGGCTGAAACAGCTTCAGTCTAGATTTCAGTCTTTGAAAAAGAGAGCTGGGCTTTCAGCTTCCCTGGAGGCAGCTCCGTGCCTAGCAGAAAAGCTGCCAGGATGCAGAGGGGAAGAGGCAGAGCTGCCTCCTTTCCTCAAGGCAAAGGACAGCAATGCCTGTGTGCAGAGCTCTGATTTATCCAGGGCACCAGTTCCAGACACAGCCTTCTGCTCTGGAAATGGGAGACCACCATGAAAAACAACAACATCAACAAAAAAAAACAGCATGAAAAGCAACAAATACACCCCAGGGCTGCCCCAGGAAATGGCCCCAGCACAAGGGGAGCCTGTGGGTGCTGTGCTCACTGTGCACAGTGCAGCTGGACAGGCAGGAGCACTGGGAATCTCCCAGCAAACCCTGTGCCCTGTCCCGGCAGACAAGAGGATCTACCGGCTCCCGGTGTTCACAGAGCAGTTCTGCCACGCCTTGGTGGATGAGCTGGAGAACTTTGAGCAGTCGGATATGCCTAAAGGCAGGCCCAACACCATGAACAACTACGGGGTAGGACTCATCCCTTGTGCTTCTTCTCCTCCAAATTTTAATCAAGGTGGCAGTTTTTAAAGAACACTCCCCTTTTGATCTTATTACTCTGTTTTCCCCCATCCTTTTTCACTTTGATCCTCCTTCCTTTTCCCTCTGCTCCGAAGTGCTCTGAGCCAGCAGCAGGGCTGCAGGACAGCAGCAGACGAGGCTGCTGAGCTGCTCCCCCCTGCTGTCCTCGCTCAGGTTTTGCTGAACGAGCTGGGCATGGACGAGCCTTTCCTGACGCCGCTGCGGGAGCGGCTCCGGCCCATCACGGCGCTGCTGTACCCGGAGCTGGGCGGGGCCTGCCTGGACAGCCACAAAGCTTTCGTGGTCAGGTACTCCCTGCACGAGGACCTGGACCTGAGCTCTCACTACGACAACGCTGAAGTCACCCTGAACGTTTCCCTGGGAAAAGAATTCACAGAAGGAAATCTGTACTTTGGGGAGTTCAACCAGGTACTGAGCACGGCTCGCTCGCCTCTCCCTCCTCACCCCTCAGCTTCCAGGCTTCCAATGTGTTCTACAAAACAATTCTTCACTTCTGACAGCCAAACCTGCTCTGTCCCTTCCCCATTTCTTGCATGGCTTGGTTATACAGGAGCCTCTTGCTGCAATATTCCAGCATCCAATACCAATATTCAGTATTTTAAAGAGAGGACAGATGCAGCTTCACAGTAGAAACTGGAGTGGAACAAACCATCCCCTTTCCACATCTGAAACTGTGAGCAGGGAGGTGCTGAGGGAGAGATTGATTTCAGATGTGACTTCAGCCTACATCTCTAGCCCCTGTTTTTAGGGCAAGACAGGGGTAGAAGCTGTCACACAGCAGTGAAACATGGGATTTTTTCTTGAATCTCTCTAAATTCCCTCTGAGCTTGCCACTGGGAATGAGGGTTTCCCCTCTCTGTCGTGTTCCCTGAGTGCCGTGGGGTAAGAGGTGACAAATTCCAGCCACTTGAGGGATCTCACGGTGTGACAAATCCCGCTGCCTGTGTTGCAGGAGCCCAGCCCCGTGCCCCGGTACATCGAGGTGGAGCACGTGTGGGGCCGGGGGCTGCTGCACCGCGGGGGACAGATCCACGGGGCCCTGCCCATCGCCTCGGGGCAGCGCTGGAACCTCATCGTGTGGATGAGATCGTCGGCCGTCCGCAACCGCCTGTGCCCCATGTGCCGCAGGAAACCCGAGCTGGTGGAGGCCGAGGGCTTCGGGGACGGCTTCACGGAGCCGCCGCCGGGGGAGGAGCTGCCGCGCACCGTGGATGTCTGTGCCCTGGGCTAGCGGCGGGGATCCCCCACACCGAGCTGCCCCACGCTCCTTTCTGACCTCTGCGCTGCGGGCTGAGTCCTGCAGGGAGCTGCTCTGGCCTTGGGAGGGGTGCAAAGCCAGCCCTGCCAGGATTCCAGCTGGAACTCGGCTCCCGAGGGCTCAGGCTGGGGCTGGAGGACTGTGAGGCACAGAAAGCCCAGCTCTGATTCCCTGCAGGAGCTCTCTCAATATTTCCAAGTGCACCAGGAAAGCAGCCAAAGCTCCTTGGCCTCTCTGCCAGCAGCAGCACCCCAGGTGCCCCTGGAAACGGGGCAGAATGGGACAATAAATCATTTTCTGCTGTTCTTAGGGCCTCCTGTCCTCTGCCAGGGGAGGGGAAGAGCTTTGTGTGGCTGAGTGGCCAGGAAGGATCTGCTCAGGATGAGATGCAGGTGATTCACAGCGAGCTGCTGGGAATTGCCATCACTGGATGTTTGTCCCACCCAGGCTCAGGAAAACCCACCAGGAGCAACACTGATCCCCCAGGGTGGCTGGGAGATCTCCCCAGGCTTCCTGGGAGCACAAACTTCCCTTTCAAAGGTTTTGTGAACCTTATGAAGCAGAGCCTGAGCTCTGGGAGCCACCTGCAGCACAGCAGAACTCCCCAGAGGAGGACTTGATGCACATTTAACTCCCTCTGCTTTAGTTACATGAGCCAGTGAAAATATCAAATAACTCTGCCAGCCTGGCTGCAGCAGACGGGGCCTGGGGCTGCTTAATTTGGCACCAAGATCCCCCAGGAGCTGAAGGATTGGAAGGGTCGAGCGCTTTCCCCTCCTTCCTCCCAGCTGGCTGAAAGCACATGACTCTTCCATCTGCTAAACAAACTAAAGAAGCCAAATACCTTCTGATTTCTCCGTGGAAAATTAACCCGATTATTGGATAGATGCTGCTGAATTTATGAGGGGCTTTTCCATTCAGGTGTTCAGTGCAGTAATCAGACTCGGTAATTGTGGAGGGCTGAACGTGAGCAGCTCGCACAAAAGGTGTTCACTGAAGCTCTCCCAGCGGCCCCGCTGGATTTTGGCTGGGGCTGCTGGATTTTGGCTGGGGCTGCCTTTAGCACAGGGCGCCGATGAGCTGCTCATTAGCAAAGCTCATCAAAATTACACCGAGGGAAGGAAGCCGGCGGTTGTATCTGAGCGGGGAGTCGCTGCCAAGAAACGCAGTCTCGAAGCCTTTACCCCGTTCACTGGCGAGCGTGAGCGCTCCCGATCTGCTCGAATTCACCCCAAAAACTGAGCTGCTGCCCGGGCTAGGCGGCCCCCGGAACCAAAGAGCGCGGCCCGGCTGCCGCCCGGCCCCGCGCGTGGCGGACGGAGGCGGGAGGCGGCCAGCGCGGCCCCGGCGGCGGGAGCCCCGCTCGGGGCGGCGGGACCCGGCCCGGTGAGTCCCCGCTCCCCCCCGCTCCTCTTACCTGCGGCGGGGCCGGCTGAGGACACCGGAGAAGGGGGCCCGGGGGGGGCACAGGCCCGAGCGCTGCGGCGGCTCCGGGGCCGGGGGGGGCCGATAAAGAGCTGCGCACTTAAAGGGGCCGCGCCCGGAGCCGCGAGCGCAGAACGCGCCCGCTGAGCTCTTAAAGGGCCAGAGCACCTTGCACGGGTTCTTAAAGGGCCAGAGCACCTTGCACGGGTTCTTAAAGGGCCAGCGCACCTTGCACGGGTCTTAAAGGGCCAGCGCACCTTGCACGGGTTCTTAAAGGGCCAGCGCACCCGTGCTGAGCTCTTAAAGGGCCAGCACACCTTGCGTGCCGCAGGCTCCCCGTGCCGGGGGCCAGGGCAGGGCCGGCCCCTGCAGGCGCCCAGGGCAGAGCAGCGCCGGGGCCCGGCCTGGGCGGGGCGGGAGGAGTCGCTGCGGGCCCGGCCTGGGGCTCAGCCAGCCCCGGGGTGCTGCTGGGGCGGATTTGGGATTCGTCACGGGGATGCTGCTGCCTGAGCCCAGCCCCAGCGCCACTGATCCTGCTGCTGTGCATGGATAACAGTGGGTTTGATCCTGCTGCTGTGCACGGATAACAGTGGGTTTGATCCTGCTGCTGTGCATGGATAACAGTGGGTTTGATCCTGCTGCTGTGCATGGATAACAGAGGGTTTTTCCTGCTGCTGTGTGCATGGATAACAGGGGGGTTTCAGCCTGCACGGGTCTTAAAGGGCCAGCGCACCTTGCACGGGTTCTTAAAGGGCCAGAGCACCTTGCACGGGTTCTTAAAGGGCCAGCGCACCCGTGCTGAGCTCTTAAAGGGCCAGCACACCTTGCGTGCCGCAGGCTCCCCGTGCCGGGGGCCAGGGCAGGGCCGGCCCCTGCAGGCGCCCAGGGCAGAGCAGCGCCGGGGCCCGGCCTGGGCGGGGCGGGAGGAGTCGCTGCGGGCCCGGCCTGGGGCTCAGCCAGCCCCGGGGTGCTGCTGGGGCGGATTTGGGATTCGTCACGGGGATGCTGCTGCCTGAGCCCAGCCCCAGCGCCACTGATCCTGCTGCTGTGCATGGATAACAGTGGGTTTGATCCTGCTGCTGTGCACGGATAACAGTGGGTTTGATCCTGCTGCTGTGCATGGATAACAGTGGGTTTGATCCTGCTGCTGTGCATGGATAACAGTGGGTTTTTCCTGCTGCTGTGCATGGATAACAGTGGGTTTGATCCTGCTGCTGTGCATGGATAACAGTGGGTTTTTCCTGCTGCTGAGGATAGATAACAGTGGGTTTTCCCTGCTGCTGAGGCCCTGGTGCAAGGGGCAGCTGCTGGGTGTGTGTCCATGGAGGATTCTCAGCCTCTCATCCTCTCATCCTTCCCTGCATGCCTGTAATGGTTGTCATTGGTTCTGGGTTTTTTTCTGGTTAAAATTTCCCTGTGGAAATCAATCAAAGGTCTGATTCGCTTGGGAGCAAATCCAAATTGCTGCCTGGGAATGCTGAGGTGGTAAACAAACAATTCATTAAATGTGGTGGTTGGAAGGTGGCTGTGAGAAAGCGTTTCCCAGCTCCTGCTCTGCCCACGGTGCCAGTTTGTTTTCCAAATTAATGAGAGCATGGATCTCACTGGCCTGGGGCTGATGGACAGGGGTAGCAGCTCAATGCATCATCTGTTTTCTAAGAGTAAATTGGAATATTAAAAATTCATTCTCCCCCTTGGCTTGTGCCTGCTCGCAGCATTTTAAGTAACGGGGTGATGGACGTGGGGAGGACGTTCTGTGCTGCTGACAGTGTCCACCAGCCCTGCCTCTGGCCACCTGTGCTGCAGCTTCTCCTGCTGGGCCCTGGTGCCATGGGGTGACCATGGGGTGGCCATGGAGTGGCCATGGGGTGGCCGTGGGGTGGCCATGGAGTGGCCATGGAGTGACCATGGGGTGGCCATGGGGTGACCATGGGGTGGCCATGGGGTGGCCATGGGGTGGCCACGGGGTGGCCATGGGGTGGCCATGGGGTGACCATGGGGTGACCATGGAGTGGCCATGGGGTGACCATGGAGTGGCCCCGGGCACAGCCCTGCTGCAGACACAGCCCTGCTGCTGCCCCTCCGTGCCTGCCCCAGCAGGGTCAGCCCGATCCTCCAGGGACAAACAGCAGGAGAGCAGGGAAAACCTGCTGGAAGGTTTTCCTGGTGGAAAGCCTGCCTGGGGACACTTGTGTGGGCAGCTGAGGCTGTCCCTGTGCCAGCTCCCTGCCCAGGCTCCCTCTTGGGGGCTGGTGAAATCCCCGAGGCCACGGCTGCGATGGGAGATGGGCAGAGCTGTGTGAGCAGGGAGGGAGTTTACCAGGAGCAGGTCTGCCAGGGCTGTTGGCTCAGACTGAAGGATTTTGGGGCTGCTGGGCAGGGCTGGTGCCCCCGTGGCTCTGCTGTGACCCCTTCCTCTCCCCAGGAGCTGCCATGGCCCGCAGCCGCTCTCAGAAGCGGTCGCGGAGCAGGAGCAAAAGCGACTCTCGGAGCAGGCAGGAGAGGAAGGAGAAGAAGAGGAGGAAGAGCAGCAAGGACTCGCAGCAGGGCAGCAGCTCTCCACTGAGGAAGAGGATCTCTGGCTCTCACGGACACACCTCGAGCTTGGCAGCAGCCAGGGAAGGTGGGGAAGGCCCCTGAGCCTTTGGTGTCACCACGTCCCTGGGGCAGGGGCACACAGGGGGTTCAGGGGAAGGAGAGGATCCCTGTTTTAGTTGGTGTCTGTCACCTTGTCCTGCACTTTGTGCTCATTTTGGTCTCGTTCTGACAAGTGCAGAACTCTCAGCCCCTCCATGAGCTGCCCTGGTACCACAGAGCATCCTGGGTTGAAGGTGGGCACAGAGGGGAATTCCAGGCAGGAAAGAAACCAGGCTGGGAGGGGGATAAAAACCAACATCTCTGCTGCTGCAGGGCCTGGCTGCTCCACTCACCCTCTTCTTGTGTATTGCAGAAAAGAAAAAGGAAGGAAAGGACAAAAAGAAGAGGAAGGCCAGTACCTCTTCTGGGACGTCTTCGTCCACCAGCTCTTCCTCATCTTCCTCTTCCTCCAGCTCCTCTTCTGATGACTCCAGTGACAGCGACTCCAAAGTGAAGAAGAGTCAAGACAGCAAAAAAAAGCGAGTGAAACAAAAAGACAAAAAGAAGAGGAAGAAGAAGAAGAAAAAAATAAAGAAGAAATCAAAGAAGAAGGCAAAGGAGAGGGCTAAGGAGGAGAAAGCCAAGGGAGAAGAGGTGCCCGGGCCCTCGCTGGAGCAGTGGCAGAAGGAGTCAGTGGTGGACTCTGGGCCAGGTAACGAGGCTCTTTCCCTCCTGCTGGAGCCTCTGCTGGTCCCTTTCCATCTGGGGTGTCTGGGGGAAGCAGGGCTGGGAACAGGGAGGAGCCCCAAGCTCTCCTCCCTCCTCTGTATGGCTTTGAGCCACACTCAGAGATTGCTTTGTGAAGTGTTGGGATGTGGTTTATAGATGTGAGTGGGGAACAAAGAGGCCAAATGGAAGGACACAGTCAGCAGTAAATCCTGGCAAAGCTGGTCCTGGCTTTGGGATGTGAAGTGTCCCTTTCTTTGCAAGGTTTGTCACCACACCCCGAGCACTGCCAGGAATGGGGCGTGGAGTGTTGTCCGTGGGCTGAACCCTGGTGCTGTGCCCCTCTCCTGGAGCACAGCTCTGACTGAGCACTGCACTCCAGTTCTGACAGATGAACAGAAATCCCGGATCCAGGCCATGAAGCCAATGACAAAGGAGGAGTGGGACGCGAGGCAGAGCGTCATAAGGAGAGTGGTGGATCCCGAAACGGGGAGAACCAGGTACGGCCCTGGGCAGGAGGGAGATGGCTTCTCCATTGCCATCCGTGCTGAGCGGGCTGGGGGCCTGCAGGATGCCTGTCCATGGCACTGCAGCACCACCAAAGCCTTGAGCCAACCCACCACAGGTCCCCCCTCATCAGGCCTGGTGTGACTTACCCAGAAAGGGACACAACGACACCAAATCATTGAATTGTGCTGGGGTTCCACACAAGGGACTCTGGGCTGTCCCAGTATCCCATTGCTGCATCCACTTACCTTTCAGCTCCAAAGCCCTGGGCCCTGGAAGCACCCAGGTGGGAGTGAGGAGCATGTGCCCTGTGGGTTACAGGCAGTGATCAAACCCAAGTTCATTTAGCTGCCAAATAGAAATGACCCAGTTTTTAATAAACTGCATCTTCTCAGCAAGCAGAAAACGTCATGCTGAAGAGAATTGGGTATGACAAGTCCAGTCTTAAAATAGAAGGCAGCCTGCAGGGCTCAGGGAGGTGTGGAACAAAGGTCGGTTCCCTGTAAGGCACGTAATGAAGACAATTAAATTTCTGTTCATGTCTGGAGGTGTGAGCCGCCTCCAACACTGCTTGGAATTTGCTCAGCAAGATATTCCCCATCCTGGCTGCATTTCAGGCCCAAACTGGCTCCTGTTCCTGAATGGCTTTGCAGTTTCCTGGGGCAGCCAGGACCACACCTGAATTCTATGAGAAAAATAAGAGGTTTTGCATGGGTTGGGGCACTGTGGATTGTAGGGTGACAGGGGATGCTTTCACCAGGAGTTTTGTTGTGCCAGTGTGACTGACTGCACACAGCAGGCAGTGCCCACAGCCTGGGGCAGAGTCAGCTGGCCCTCAGTTCTCAGGGGAGAACTCCTGCCTTGCTGCAGTGTGGTGACATTAATTCCACGGGAGCAATGGCAAAGCCTGCTGTGCTGTTTAAGCTTGACACAAAAACAGAGTCACAAAATACAATGTCAGGGGTGGGTCAGTGCTGGCCTTGCCTGGAGGAGCATCAGCACCTGCTCCTGGGTCTGGGGGAGCTGGGGCAGAGCAGGAGCCCTCGGGGTGGGGGTCAGCACCTTTGCAGCTGCAGGAACTGGCCAGTACCCTCATGGCTCCTGGGCCTGTGCTTGTCTTGCAGGCTCATTAAAGGGGACGGGAAAGTCCTGGAAGAAATCGTCAGCAAGGAGAGACACAAGGAGATTAACAAGGTAGTGGGAACTGGCCACCAGCATGAGCTGCACGGGGTGGCTGTGCACAGCCAGGGAGCTGCTGCAGCCAGAGGGGTTGTGTTTCCACCCTGGGGACAAGCTGAGCCCTGGCAGCACTGCCAGGGCCCCCGGGGTGGTGCTGGTGGTGCTGCAGCCCAGGGCAGGGCGGGCTGTGAGTGCTGTGTGTCCCCTGCAGCAAGCCACGCGTGGGGACGGGCTGGCCTTCCAGGTGAGGACGGGGATGCTGCAGTGAGGGCAGGCACCAGCCAGCCCAGGAGCCCGTCCTGCTGCCCCTGCCAGCCCGGGGGGAGCCTCTGCCTCAGGACCTCGCAGACAGCACCGTGTCAAGATGTTCCCCAGGGGCCCTTTCCAGCTGCTCTGTAAGTTACTGACCGGGAAGGAGAGCGACTTTAGTGGCTCATCTCCCAGTAAACAGCTTCTCCCCTCCCTGTCCCAGCTCAGGCCAGTGTGGCTGTAATGTACCTGAGCCAGTTGCCCTGATGCTCCTCTGGATGCTGGAGGAGCTCAGCAGCACCCAGGGGACAGGCTCGAGGGTGCTGAGCACCTCAGGGTGCTCTGGGCTTTGGGGGCAGGACAGGGTGTGTACCAAGGCCACAACACACAGCTGGCTGCCACTTCTTCCCCTCAGGGGCTGCCCATGGCCCTTTCCCTGCTCACAGGCCCTTTGCACTCACTGAGCCTGCTCAGAGAGGAGTGGCTGTGGCTCTGCTCAGGCTGCAGCTCCTCTGCACCCCTGAGTTTCTCCCAGCCTTCCTGCAGCTTCACCTCCTCAGGTAGGGGAGCACTGACCTGGCACACTGCACTGGCATCTGTGCAGGTGTGCTTTGTGCAGGGGTGGCTTTGCCTTGCTCTCTGCTCCTGCATGCAACTCGTGTCCCTTCCCCACAGCACAGGCCCTGGGCAGCACTGTGGCTCTGGGCTTCTCAGGGCCCAGGGCTGCTTTGAAGCAAACACAGCAGCCTTTTCCCTTGCTGGGAAGTCCATAAATCTGCAAACTGTAAAAAAAAAACAAAAGGACAAATGGGTTAAAGGACAAATGAGTCCTGCAGGACTGATCTCCACAGAGGGTTTCCTCATTCTGTTCATGGCTGTAACCCCATTAAACTGGCACCTGCTCACACCTGATGACTTGTCTGTTCCTGAAGTATTCCCCCACTCCCCCAAAAAAGCAGACAGAGAAGAGCCTTCCCATTTCTTTAATCTGTGTAACTCACAATGGTACTGTACACAAAGCACACCAGGCATTGGAACGATGCACTAACAGCAAGGAGGAGAAGGAAGTTGCACAGAAGGTTTGCCACACACACGCGAGTCATCGGCACGGCACACGCGGGGCGTTCCCGGCGCCCTCGGGCATCCCCCGCTGCTTCCCCACGCACAGCTGGTACCCCTAGAGCAATTTTTTATAAATAAAATATAACTAACATTGTTGGAATATAAAATTGACAGTCGAGGGTATCAACAGGCAGAGGGAGGGGACCGTAAGGCTTCTAGAACTAATAGGAAATGCAGCAAACAGTGGCGATACCTGAAGAAGGGGCTGCTACAGCAAGCACGGCGGCTGCTGGGAGGGTGGTGGTGACCCTTTGGCTGATTTCTGCTCTGGGCTCGTGCCCCCGACACTGTAAACTGTTTTTGGTATTAGGATTTCGCCTCATCTGACTGAGTGATCTGAGCAAACCCAGGAAAACGACTCGGAGGGAATGCACGGGCTCCTCTCACTGGTTTTTTAAAAGACTTGAAAGGGACAGCGTCAGGTAGAAAGTCCGGCCTAAGGGTGCAGTAATATAAAAAGCTGCTTTTCGTAAAAAATCTGAGCTCTGCAGCAGAGTTTGATTCCCATGGAAACAGAAAAGCAACCCCAAAGCCCGAGGCTGTGTTGTGCTGATGTGCAGAACAGGATGTGGGCCGTCACCGAGGGCTGCCCAGACAACGGCCGAGGGAGGAGGACAAGAAACTTCCCATTCTCTCCTTTCAAAGCAAACAAGTTACTCGTAACAAGGATAAATTAGGTCTTTACCCTGACAGTGCCCCTTCAGTAAGGATGGAATATACATTCATCCAAACGGATCCTCTTCCATACACGTGGAAAGGCATCGGGTCACATGCACTGCTCTCCAAAACAGCTCGGGACAAACAGGTTACAAACACAGAGTTAAACTATTGCTATTGTTCTGTGAGTGTTGATCTCTGCTTCAGAGGGATGAGTGCCAGATGGGGGCGGCTGAGGATTGAGCGATGGAGACGGGGATGGACTGAGTTGGTGAAGAGAAACTTAGTGGCATTATTTCCTGGTAACTGCACCCACCTCCCAGGGTATTATTGCAGCAATAAAGGTCCTGCTCTACAATTGCTTCTCCGTGTTGGATCCATACAATGGCAACGGATGGGGGGCCAGGGGAAGGACCCGGGCAAGGTTCAAGAAGCTCAACAAAGGATGAGGACGGAGGTGCTGTGATTGTCAGGCTAACTGTTAGGAGCTGTTTCAAACATGAAGTGATGGAGAGGGTGAGTATCATATTGCACTTCTGCATTCATTGACAGTTACATTAAACTTGGTCCATAAAATAATTGCTTTGTACATAATGCCTGAAACAAAAAGCTACATTTTTAAAATATTAATAAACCCTGAAGGTTCCAGTCCCTCCAGACATTTTTTTTTTTCCTCTACATAAATAAATAACTTTCAATTTTATATATCCACTTTTTATGTTGAACATTTACATTCGCCTCTGTTTTACACTATCTACACATAAGAAAATGTGAACATCTCGTCAACTGGAAAATGTACAGGTCATGCCTTGGTTCTGGACTTGGAGGAAAGGTGAATTTTGCAAAGGCCATATCCAAATTTGCGGAAATTATCTAGTGATGTGGTTTGGTGACTTCACAGGATGGATTGTGGCTTGGCTTCCTACTTAGATGGCATCTGTTTGATAGAACATTCGGTTAGCAAAAAGCTGGGACAAATTCTCAATGCTTTTAAACCCAGTAAAAGCTCTGGATGTACATTCAGAGAGAGCCAAGCTGAGTCAGCAGAAAGGGAAGTCAGTTTCTGGTAACAAAAAGTCATCAGGTACATTCTGTACTTGGATAATTACCAAAGAGAAGTGGTTAAACGTTTTGCAGTCGGGTCTGAGCGCTCCAGGGGCTCTGATGCCGGCGGCAGCTCCGCACTGTCCCTGCTCTGCCTCGGCCTGGACCCTCCACACCACGAGCACATGAGTTGGATGAGTTGGATTTGTCTGCCGTGGCCCAGAGGCAGTGAGCAGAGCAGCGTTCACAGTGCTGTGTATCTCAGTGCGGCCGTCCTGCACCGTTCTTATTGAAACTGGTAAGAAAATGAAGCAGCCAGTCTAAAAAATTCTCTGTTATAAATAAGATCCTCGTAAGTAGAAAGTGATATAAAGACAGGAGAGTGTGGTGGGGAAAGCGGGGTTACACACGGTCAGGGAGCTCGGTAGGACTAGAAAATCTCCACGTGAAGAGGCCAACTGGAGTCTGTGAATGGGCACCGTGGAACCCCTGTGTGGATGCCCCTCCGCCCCGGGAGGTGTGTGCCAGGAGGGAACCTTGGCTGGCCCCGGGAGGGACAGCACTGAGGGGCTTTCTGGCAAGCCCTGGCTCCAGGCACTGTTCTCTGTCCCTGTCTGGGTGCCACCGGGGTGCCAGCCCTCCGCCACGCGCCCGCCGGCTCGCTCCAGCAGCACAAACCCAGTGCCTCAGGCACGTCCACTGAGAAACACACCAGAAAAATTAAGATATGGCCTTTTCTTAAGGTTGCCTGACATTGTTGGCACACTTCCTTACAGTCTCCTTACTGCTGGAAAAACTTCTGCACAGATTGTTTTTGTGTTTTTTTTTTTTAAGTATATACATATATATATGTGTGTGTGTATATATGTATAGATATCCACACACACCCTGGCTTAGCAATATTTCATTGTCATGCACTACAAACACTGGTGTAGCTACATGAGATGGTAACAGGTTTCCATTCTAAAAATCATCAGTGCAAAAAACAATGAGGTTTTACAGTTCAGTAACTATAGGTAAAAGAAGCGAGTCTAGTTCCCATGAAAGCTGCTACTGAACTTGGAGAGAACCTGGGAAGAAAAAAGGTCTCAAGAGGTGGACGTTGAGAGAGTCAGACCCTGCATTTGGATGAGAAGAACTGCAATGCAATCCAGCTGCTGAGTGCCTTCAGCTGCTTCCAAATATATGGTGGTTACTTGCTGGAAATAATACATAGCGAGACTATTTGGAGACTTTAACAGCAATTAAGTGTCTGAGGTTTGTAACAGCTCAAACAAAATAGCTTGTATTCCTCTTTTAATAGGTCAACACATTAAATTCCATCGGCTTCTAAAAGATCTGTTTAAAAAATAACAGTAATAACAATAATGACCCCGCTGTCTTGGGCACGAATCTGCCGACATTCTGCCTCTGCCAACGGCCTCGATGCAGCTTCAGCTTTGCACTGCACCAGCTCCTCGAGAAAGTGGCTGCACGTGGAGCTCTCTGTCCAGGAAAAGCTCTCGGTCGCTCTGCCTGGCACAGCCCACGACAAATCCCTCGCTGGGGCCGGGGGAGCGGCGTTACCCAACCCCAGAGCCCCCACCTGACTCCCGGGACAGCCCAGAAGAAGCTCCCCCAGCCTCGTGCCCTGTTGCTGTGGCTCTGAGGACAGCACTCGGTCACCGTGTGGATGGCTAACAAGGCGAGGAGGCACCTATTTACAGTCACTGACCCTGCACGAGAGAAGGAGGCAGGAGAGACTTCCCCCCGGTTCCCAGCTGTTCCTCGGGCTCACGCTGCACAAACCTGACGCCCCCGCTGCAAGGCCTGCACGTTCTGTGTGGGAAACGCCCCGTCTCTCCCCAGAACACCGTGTTATTAGAGTAGCACCATATTTACCCTTCCAGCCCGAAACACTGGCCTCGTCCCTCTTTCCTTTTGTTTTCTCCTCCGGTGGCTGCAGCTGACAATCCTGGCTCTGGCCTGGCTACTTCTGCCCCAAGAGGCCAGACTCCAGGCGGGACGCGGCGCTCCGGCCCCAGCAGCCCGTGGCGATGCTCATGCTCCTCTGGCTGCGCTCCCTGTCCCTGTCCTTGTCGCCGTCCGACTGGCTCTGGGTGCGCTCGGGCCGGTGGCCGCCGGCCGAGGGCTGGGAGGAGATGGTGCGCAGCAGGTGGTTCCTCTTGCGCAGGAACTCGGCCTGGCCGGGCAGCCCGAAGCTGCCCTTGCGCAGCGCCATGCGCGTGGTGTTCTTGGCGGGGCGCGCGCGGTGGTTGTACTCCAGCTGGGCCAGGTGGGCCGCGTAGCCCTCCGTGATGAACTGCGGGGTGAGGGCAGGCGTTAGAGGGGTGGGACACGTTTCCCTGAGAGCCACTGGCAGCCAGAGAGGGTCACTGCTGGGTTCTCTGGGGTGACTGGCTGTGGAACCGCTCAGACCCATTATGTGGCCCTGCTCCCTGGGACAGTTCCCTGCTGGCCAACGCTAGCTCAGTCAGCAGACTTGTGATGACCAAATTCCCACCTCCCTCCCATGGGAGGCTCTTGGCAGCATCTCCAGGGCTTAGGCAAGTTGGCTCCTACCTGACACTGGCTCTGCAGCTTCTTGGTGGGTCGGCCAACGATGTAGATGTGCGTGGGCGGGAGGCTGATGGAGCTGTACACGGAGATGTCCTTGGTGGATCCGTACGCTGCGTGGATCCTCATGTGCAGCTGGGGGGACAGAAAGCAGCACAGGGTCACAACACACAGGCACCCCACGCTGCTCAGCAGGCTGGGCTTTGGCTTTTGCAATAGCATTTGTGGGAATCTCAGGTCACTGGAACTAATGCAAGTTCCCAGCTGGATAATGAACCACCCAGGGAAGTGCTAATTAACAGAGCTGGGGATGTTTACAGGCCGTGACAAGAGGAGCGACAGCGATACAAGAGCAGATCTCCACTTGCTGATCCACGGCCTTCCCTTGAGGTCTGCAGGGGGCAAGGATGCTGCACACTTCCCTGCTGTCACTGGGGGAGAGGAGCTGCAAACCTGTGCAGGAATCATTAGCCAGGAATGTTCCCCTCCACAGCCAAGCTGCTGTTACCTGCTGGGCAGAGGGAGAAG